CAGATACAGTCCAGTTGCAGAGTTGGAATGAAACTTTGCGCTATCCCCAGGTTCCTGAAGAAGCAGTACGGCTCAATATGCAGCAACTCACTTTTCTTTGTCAGGATTCTGGTGTGCCCGTCCTACCAGATTTTGAGCTTCGGTATTTTGCGTCCATGATTTGCCGCACAGGCGCTACAGCCTTAGAGGTCTTTCAGCGAGTAGGTATTCTTGAGTCTGCTTTGACAGTACATTGGGTATTTCACTTGAGACAGCTCTGGACTCGGATGGACCCTCGTGTTTCGGATGCTCAGAAAATCCTGATTCAGTTTGGGCACGGGACTGATACTGGAGGTCTGGATGGCATTCTTCGACTGAAGTATTTAGCTCCTGCTGTGTACGCCGACGGGGATGATGCAGTAGGCCACTATAGCCAGGCCAGTTTGTGGTCCGATGTTCATTCTTTGACAGAGATGTATGATCGTGTCGTTTCCAGTGGCAAGTGGGCACAACCTGTGATCGTGGGTGGTGAAGTTGTGTGTGGTGACATCCATCACACTATGAAATCAGGTTCGGGCGTGGAAGCTCAGAGGGCTTGTGTTATCAGCGGCGCAGTCCACATGAAGAAGGACAAGAAGTGGGTTCTGCATTCCAATTTGACACGTATCACTAATTTCACGGTGAGTGTTCGCAAGTCTTTTCAGACCCGCCGGGATGCTGGAGGATTGCCCATGTTTACCTTGCCTCCTAGCCGATTTGAGCGCCTGTCCACATCTATGCGGTCAGGTGCCATACCTTTGCCTCGCATGGCATGAGGCCGTACAGTAATTCCTTAGACTGGGTAGCCATTCTTTCAGATGCTACAATGATACCTCATGAATGGTGAGGTCGCGCAACATGAAGCGGCACTTCTGAAAATTGGGATCAGCGCACATTCGCTGCTTTCCATGTCTGAAGATTGTAGCATCATGCTCATGGGTTGGGCTGCGAGCTACATCCCAGAAGGTGCAGCCGATGGAGGGGGGTTTGCTTCTGGGCCGGGGGGTCCCCAGGTTCAGGCGGGGTCCAGGAGTTTTCGGGGGTCCCTAGGGGGCTTCTTCTCACGCCCTGGCTGTGTCCGGCGGGTTTTTTCGCGGGGGCCTCGGTTGCCGGTTGGTTCGGTGTTTGTCCCGTACGAGACTTCGTCTCGGCCGCCTCGGCGGGGGGAGGGGTGGTGTGGGGGGAGCTAGCAGGTTTGGAGGCTAGTTAGGACTGCTTTGGGCGGACGTCAAAATACCATGCATGTACAATCTGAGAGCTTCACATAGGGCGCATCCGCTTTTCCTGGAAGAAGGAATATTGAGACCCGCCCATATGTACCTCGGATGTGATGGACAGTACATGATTCGCTGACTTCTGACGCGGAAACTTGGTTCGGTCATGCAGGGTTTCTGCTCCTCCAGCGCGTAAGTTTTAGTCGGCGCCATGTCTCGCAGGCTCTCCCATGATTCGCGTTCTCCGGGATATCGTTCTTCACAGAGAGATCGCTCTAGGGCCAGAAGTCGTACCAGGGAGAGGGACTACAGAGATCGACGCCGATCAACCAACGCCAGGGAGAAAGCTCGTTCTTTGTCACCTCGGAGGCCCGAAAGATTTGTGCCTCCCCGCAGTTGGCAGAGCTCGTCCCAAGAGTGGGACACCAACAAGGTGTACGGTCTGAGCCTTCCCAAGTATGTTGTGCGCAACAGACTTACTCGTGATTTGGGGATTGCTGACATGCCCATCTTTGAGGTCCCTTTGGCTAAGGTTGTTAGCCAACAGCACCAGAACTGGGCATTGAGGCAGATTGCTCATGGTCGGACAGTGACTTGGGAAAATTTCAGATCCAAGCAGGAATCCGTGTTTGCAGGAGTGCTTATGCGTGCATTAAGGGGGGACTCGGCTCAGTCTGATGGGATGGATTTCGTGACCATTCTGAATGCAGAGCAACGTCGTCGTCATCCCACCAAAGAGCTGCATGATTGGGAGGCTCGCTATGACACCATCAAGTTCTTGGCCGAATCATTGGCCACACAGTTTCGGAAACATGCTCCGACTAAGGCCAACCAGGATCTCCTTACCCGAGTTCAGGCTCTGGAACGGGAGAACGCTTCGCTCAAGAGTCGAACCTCAGCTTCTTTGGCGACTACACAGAGGACCCCGAAGCAGCAACGGCCAAGTCCCAAGGCCACCCCTCCATCTACCCGGCGCAAGCCTCCATGTCAAGAAGAGGAGGTTCCGACGGAGGAGTTTCCCGTCTTCTCACCAGTGGGTGATGCCGTAGAGGGTCATGAGGACGTTCGGGATGACGAGGAGCCACACGATGTGTTTGACGAGGAGGAACCCCTTCTTGCTCCCCAGGATACTTATGCGCAGTTCCGTTGCCCCCCGGGAGGTGTGAAGTTCTTGGAGAGCTGTTCTCTCACGCGGCATAATATCAGCGCAGTCAACACTTGGTTGGCATCCACCACCTTGGGAAAGGGCAAGAAGCAAGCCCTTGACTTGGCAGTGTCGGAGTTCATGTCTGCGGCCGGTAAGCTAGATGCAGGTTCACGTGTTGCCATTGATACTCTTGCAGTGGAATGGGGGTTGCCTGTACAATTGGCAGCCAAACTGAACGAGGCATGTCTTGTGCGCCTGCTCGCAGGCGCGCATCTGCTGTCTCAGGAGTGACTCTGCTCAGATCGGCAAGCAACGCGTAGTGCACGCGGCAAGTTTGTGCAGACATTTCTCCGATGGTTTTCCATGATTCTTCCTCTTCTTTTCTCACTTTGTTCTCATTCTTTGATCTCCAGATTTCTATGGGTACGAGCGCACCTTTTCAGACGAGCATTACTCTTTTCCATTCCTTCATACACCAATCGGTTGAAGCAAGTTCGTGATCTTTTGGCCAAGTTTCAGGTCCCTGAGGACTATACTTGGCAATGGCATCAACAGCAGCAGGTTGTCTACATTCGGGTGACACCTACAGCATCTTGTAAGTATTGCAGGTGCTATATTGGGTCGACAGGCCTGTCCCTCATGGAACGGGAGTCTTCTCGCCGACGGAAGTTCATTCAGTATTCCCGTGGTAGGCTTGCGTATTTTGAGCCTGCTCTCAAGGTGTGGTACAAGGAACGCAGTTTCTACAGTACAATTTCTTTGGTCTTGTTTGCAAACGATGATGATCATGATCGCTTGGCGCGAGAAGCTGCACTGATTCGGACGTTTCGTCCTGAGCTTAATCATCCCTGGGTTACACAGGTTTTGCGCAGATTTCATTTGCACGAGCGTACCTTCACATTGCCTGCCAGCAACACAGGTCAACGTTTCATTAAGAGGACACTACGCTTTATGCAAAACCATCAACGTCTGGATATACAATCTTTCAGGGCGGATTGCGCTATTTTTCTTTCCTTGTATCGTTTGGGAAGCAATTCATTGCACAAGTTTCGAGAGTCGCGCATCCTGCGCAGTCATCTGACGTCGCTGCCTCAGCTCTACTTGCGTCAAAGATTGGTGCAACAATTGGATGAGCCTTGGAGGACACGTGCCTCCCAGCAGTTGCGATTGATACTGCGTTTTCGTGGAGGTGATGTTCCTCCGACCAATATTCCATTGCGCCTTCCACCTTTGGCGCATGATTTGACGTCGGCGGTGCGTAACCAAATTCGAAGAATCATATGTTCGGCTCGCGTCAATTTTCCTCCGCTGCATTTGCCATCAACCAGCTTTATTGAAGTTAAAGCTATGCCATGGGCAACGACAGTGTTCAATTTTCGTTCTTTTCTGCAAACATGGAAGCCTCGTCGCCCAGCGAAGTGTATTTGTGAGGCTTGGCAGAATGCCCGCGGAGCGGTTAACCCAACAGGTCATGTATTCGGACACGTGCGGTTGTTGTTTCCTCTTTCTTCTTTGGCTTCTCTCAATCTGCATGACACCACCTTTATGTCTGCATCCAGGTGGCGACAACATGCATTGTCGGAGGTCCGACGATGGTGTTCACGTTGGAAGTTGCCATCAGATGTTCTTCTTGATTGGGAGAAGTGGGTCGATGTACAGTTGACTCTTCATGCTGAAGCACTTGAGCGTCCGGCTTTTGACCGGGCCCGAGATGTTCTGAAAGTCGTCAAACGCCTCACGGGCTTTGTCATTACGCCAGCAGATCATTTCCCGTACACAGCACATGTAGCGTGTCCTTTTGCGTTTCATGCTCTGATGGATCGTACGTTCCTGGACCTCGAGGTTTTTCAACAATGCACTGTGGGTATGGGTCATATTCTGAGCAACTTACGCAGTCAGTTTCGAGCGGAGCCCCTTTGGAATAGACGCTATTCTTGGGCGGTGCAGTGGGATAGGGCTCTCCCACGGGCTAGGTTGTTACCCAAGCCGTCGAAAGCCTTTCAGAAGGCCAGACCAGTTATTGCTTGTGATCTTTGCTGGCATTCACGTCTGACCATTTTCTTGGCTAAGGCCCTTTTTCAGTTGATGTCGCATTGTTTTCCGGAAACCAGCACGTACAACGTCACTTCCACATTGACAGCTATGCGGATGATGTGGACGCATATGCAGCAGGACTCTGATTCAGGTGAACTGATCCAACAGGACTTGATTGGGTTCTTTAATTCTGTTCCTCACGTTCGCATTATTGAATCGCTTCGATACCTACTGCATTTGTCACAGTTGTCGACTGGACAGGCTTGGCAGGACCAACAACTCCAGGTGTCTACCCAGAATAAATGGCCGATCTTCCGAGGAAAACGTGCATTCGGCAGACACCCCACCAGGACTTTGTGGTTGGCTGATTTGCCTGCTTTGACACAGTTTCTTCTGGATTCTAGCTACTTCACTTGTGGCAGATACACTTTCCGTCAAATTCAGGGAGCGTCCATGGGTTCCGCAGTTGCTCCGGTCTTGTGTACTTTGGTGGCGAACACAACGGAATTCATTCTTCTGAAGAATTTTCGGGAATGTTTGCTCACTTCTGGCATGCTGACAGGCTTTCGTTATGCAGACAATCGTGC